ATTTGGATACGAAGAGTATGCTAAAATCTGCAATGGCAACCAAACCACAAGAATCCAAAGAATCCAATAAGATTATAGATCAGCAGGCAGATCTCATAAAACAATTGGCAGATCGTTTAAATGCCCTCGAATGCGGTTCCACTGCATCGTCTTCTACTTCGAAAAAGATAATAAACAAATCTGATGCTGATGATTTTCCAAAAACTGTTATTACACCATTTTCAGGAGAATATAAAGATTGGCCGCTGTTCGAAGAACTCTTTCAGAGTGCCCTGCAGACCAAGCCCAAATGGGCGAATAAAGATAAAATGAATTATCTCAAATCGTTGCTACGCGGTAATGCCGCAAACCTTATTCAACATATGCCATCGTCCAATGATAACTATGAAACCGCATGGAAACGTCTCAAAGAGGAATTTGATCGTCCCATCTATGTTGTGCATGGCTACATTGAGCAATTCATGAATATCGCCAATATGAAGAATTCCAGCGTAAGTGATTTGCGTAAAATAATAACAGATGCCAGTGACATAATAAATCGGCTTGATGCCCTGCATCAAAACGAACGTGATCCATGGCTGGTGTACATCTTAATGAGTAAATTGGATGCAGAAATATGTCACAAATGGTTGGGTCAACCCCAGCCAAAAGAAAAACCAACAATAAAATCATTCCTAGATTACTTGGATGAATGCTGTAATAATTTGACCGATATTCGGACCGATATTTATCGTCGCAACAATCGGCAAGGGGGAAACAACTATAATAGTAATAGAGGAGGACATAACAATGGGAATAGAGGAAACTATAATGGTAATAGAGGAAATCGCATTGACCACAATTCCACAAATGACAATGCAACAGCAACGATCCCAAATGTCACTAAAGATTTAAATACCAATACAACTCCGGCATGTGGAGGTGATCTCTCCAAATCTCAGAGTGTGGTAACCAACTATCAACTTGCAAAGTTATCAACACAGGCCAAAAAGAACACGGGAGCCATTCCAAAACAAACAACCACCAACAATCAAAATCATTCTCAACCCAAAGCATCAGTTGTTGCTACAACAGTTGCTTCTGATCCATCCACCATAAATCAAATAAAAGCAAACACCGATGCAGAACATAAAATCACAACAATATCTAAGCAAACGCCTAGTTCTATTTACGATTTATTTTTTTCCTGAGTTCCTACACAAATGCCGATGCCAATGCCAGCATCATCACATCCACCATCACATCCATGGTAAGTTTGAAATAAAAAAAAAAACAATTTAAATGCATTAGTCTCGGGCACAATCACCACACAAAATGGACACAAATGGAGTCTTTTAAAGACGAATTGACGGGGGGTCTTTTGCAAGAGGGTATTTTATAGACGAGCTAAAGGGAGTATTTTATAGACGAATTGAAGACAGTATTTTGCTGAAGAGGGGTCTAGACGAGCTGATGGGAGTCTTTTATAGAAGAGCTGGAGGAAGTCTTCTATAGAAGAGCTGGAGGAAGTCTTCTATAGAAGAGCTGGAGGAAGTCTTCAATAGACAAGCTAATAGGATTCTTTCATAGACGAGGCGATTGGAGTTTTCATAGACGAGCTGAAGACAAAAGACTGTCTTCAGCGCGTCTATGAAAAACTGGACTCGCTGTATGAAATCTTTACAGACGAATCTAAAAAAGGGAATCTTTATAGATCATTTGATAGGAATCTTTATTGACGTATTGAAATGAATATGCGTTATGTATAGTTCATTTAAAAGGACAAAGGATAGACAAGCTTATGGCAGTCGTCATAGACGATCTTCTTCTTGCCGACGATCTTCTTGAATGCAGATCCATTTTTTTAATATTACGTCCAACCGATCGTCAGAAAAATGTACAAATACTTCTTAGCAACGACTTGTGTTGTAGTAAATTGTTGAAGGTGTATCATATGTATCGTATCCGACCACGGGCTTTCCTTACTGTTAATTTTAATAATGGTAGTTATGAAAAACAGGCGCCATATAATCCCAATTTTAACTGTTAAAAAATTCCGGACACGCACAAAAACAAACGAACGAAAATTTCGTTATTGTTTAAAGACTTTTGATGATAGATGTGTATTCAAGATTACAATAATATACAAAGAAAAAACAAAGTTTTACAAAAAAAAACCTTAGGGAAATGAATCTATTTAATGTTTTTTATTATTATTGATAAAAATATGTTTTTATTTTAATATTATTATTGTATAAATGTACATTGTGTAAACGAGAAAAATGTATAGACAACACGCTTTCCTCCAAACTGTATTCAACTATGTATTCCAAACTATTTTAACACCTCAATATATACTACAACAACTAATAATAAAAAAACAAACATTTCACAATTTATGCAAAGTTATCTTGAAGTTATAATACCAGTTTTATATATACATATATATATATATACATAAATACAAGTCAATACCCTTTGTTCTTCATTCGTTAATGTGATACGAAAAATATATATACAATGAAATAAAATCGAAATAAATTATATATATTCATTATTTACTATACATGTATTACAAAAATTTACATTTTACATTCATACACATTTTTATCGAACTTTCATGTATATTTCTTTTTTTCTTTATGTTTTTATTATATTTATAGGTTATATTAAAAATTATATTACTTCCATCCAACATTGCTTAATTGTTGTTTATTTTGTTTTGATAATTGAAATAAAAGGACAACAAAACAAAACTCGAAATGAGTTGAAATTGAACAAAATGGTATTTATATTTTGTATTCATGAGGGCCGTAATTTAAAGGGAAGCTTTATGGAAAAACTACAGGGAGTCTTTTTTTAGACAAGTTAAAATGAACTAAAGTGATTTAAAGTCGAGTTGAAGGGAGTTTTTCCATAGAGAAGCTGTAGGGTGTATTTTACACCAAGGGAATCTTTTATGGAGTACTTTACAGACGAATTGAAGTGGGTCTTTATGGACTTGTTCATGAGAGTGTTCATAGAGTTAAGGTGATTTATAAACGACAGCCTGAAGGGCGTGTTTATATAGAAGTTGAAGAGAGTCTTTCATAGACGAGCTGAAGGACGTCTTATGAATGAACAGAAGGAAGTCTTTTATGTATGTCACTTGAAAAAAGTCTTTATAGACGAATTGGAGGATGCCAATACTGAAAATTTTATTCGGGCCTATCATAGACGTGTTATAGATGGCGTAGACAAATTGAAGGAGGTCTGTATAGATCATTTAAAAGAATTATTTATAGACAAGTTAATGGGAGTCTTTTATAGAGGGAGTCTTTCTTTTATTTTTGTTTTGTTTCTTCCGGGCTCCGATTTATTATGTGATACCATGGTTTCATACAAACATCGCCAAAGAATTTGAAAACGAATCTTCGTTGTTCGAACAGGAATTTAGACGAGTTTATATTTATTGTGTCGTCTCTTTTGGAGGTCCGAGGACCTCATTTCTAAATTGAAGATAAATCTATGCTGTATGTATACCTGCTTTAACTTCTGTACCTTTTTTATTAACTCCTCTCCTACTGGTTCACGCCCTACTTAAAATTAGAATGTTCAGATCTATGTCCCCATGCGCAGCTAAGCTACAGATTTGACTTTTTCCATTGCTGGTGATTTATGTTTCTTATTTTTAGATCAACTCCAACTTCTTTTAGGAATTTTACCACAATGTTCAAACTTTCTAAACCTAGTGAATTCGTGAAGTCTTCAAGAGTGAATAAATCACATAGTTCCTGAAAGCACCTTCCTGTATTATTAAATTTACGACATCCAAAGATTATATGTGAGGCCGTTTCGGCTTCTCCACAGTCCTCGGATAAGTTATCTGGTACCACATTCATTTTGGCTAAGGTGCTCTTGCAGAAACAGTGACCACTAAAGATTCTATTAATTTGTTTTTGTGAAAAAGAGTTCAAATTACAATTTTTAAACCATTGTGATTTATAAAAATGAGAGTTACCATTGATTGCACATAACCATGTACCCATTCATCCCAAAGAACCTTAGCTATCTGATTGATGGTATCTGGCATTGGCCATTGTATTTCTAGAAGTATTCCTTCATTAATTGTATTTTTGGCTGCCCTGTATAAAATTTCATTACATTTAATAGATGCATAACTTGGAATGTAATGTTACTGTACCCTATTAGCAAAGAACTTTACCTAGTTGATTAAGGCATCAATCAGGTAATTCCTATGTTTTTGATTATCAATAGCCTGAATGCCAGTTAAGCTGTCAGAAAGTATTGCAAAGTCTTTGATACCATTGTTTTCGGCGTATTCCGCAACTTTTAGAATGGCAAACAATTCAAAGGACAGAAGATAATTTTTCCTGACATAGAAGGATTTAGTTGTTTGTTAATTGAGATTGTAAAAAGCAGCTCCGGTAATATCTCCGGGAACTGATCCGTCTGGAAAAAAGTTCATATCCTGTATTTTGAAGATGATTTATTTTTCCATCGCCTGCTGCGCTATTATTTCTTCCTATTTTTACTGGTAATTTCTTTACAAAAGAACATAAGTACATATTTTATTAGATTTAAGGCCGTGTAGGAGCAATATGTTTAGAAATGGTTTCAAGGTGTTAACTTTTTGGTTATTTTTATTTAAAGACATACCTGGTAAGTTAAACGCAACACATTTAGATAGTTCCTTGGCCGTAGCAAGTTGGAACCTATAACTTGGAGGCAATTCTGATGCCAAGTGTAACATTTTTTTTGTTTTCAAATAAAATTTTAAGTTATCGAGAATAACAGCTGTTTCTTCTCGAATCTTGTAACATTTTGACATAACCGGCAAGGCTGTCATTTGTTGTGAATGAAAGAGAAACATTTGTGTGAGTGAGTGTGGGTCCAGCTATTTGTTATTTTTTGGCGCATTGTTGTTGCAAACGTAACTAACAGCGGAAGGAAGGAAGCAAAGACTGCATCATCTACATCTCATTTGCATTTGGTGGAATACATTTTTCTTTTTGCTCCGAAATCATGAATAACATGATATGGGTTATTGTGTCCCTTAAACTATTTGTAGTCTGTTGGCTAATTTATATTTTACTTGAACGACGCAAAAGAAAGAGAGAAAATCAAAATGTCATTGTCATCGAAGAAGGTAAGTTTACATTGAAATGCATCTTAAATCTGGGCACTATATACTATTTATATAAAACATATGTTCCACATTTCGAATATAGGGGCCGTGACAACATTCTCTGGTGCTCCAGTAACCCAATTGCCAAAGGATTGTCAAGAGTATTACAGCCAGCAGCTGTATGCATCGCAACAAACAACAGTGATGTCGTCGTCGCCACCACCCAAGTAACCCAAGTAAGTATACCCTCGACCAAGATACCTACATATGTAGATATGTATGTATGTATATAGCAGGTGTTTGTAGTATGTGGTTTTTAATGAATAATTGTTTACAAATTTACCTCTTTTTGTTTTTGTAATTAATTTGCTTTAGTGTACAACAACAAACCTTCTATTCAAATCAGCAGCCTCCGCCCATGGAAATGATGAGGTCTCCCAAATAAATTGCATTTCTCAATTCGTTGAAACAAACAAAAAAAAATTATAAACTATTTGACTGTTCACTATAGGCGCACACAAACATGTCTCAAATGACATTCGTTTTGGAAAAAATACAACTTAATAAGATTGATTTATTTAAAAATTTAAACTATATAAATGTTTGTAATATAATTACAAAAAATACGAAGTATTAGAATATAAAAGAAAATAAATGTATTGTTTGTTACAAATAATTATAACAATAAAATATATACATTTTAAATGTTAGTACAAAATTTTTTTAATTTTACATCAAATTAGAAAAAATATATTTTAAATTTGTGAAAAATACGTTGTGAAATTTCATCATAAAGAACATCAAAGATGATGTGAAATAAATGTAACGCCGTAATAAAATATCGATAAAAATAAATCGGCCGATAGCGATTGCTTCTTACACGACTTGCTCATTGGGCCATGGTTTTGTAAAAAGCATGATCTATTAATAAGGTCACCAAGATAGCAATCGAAATCGGAAAACAGCTGTTTTTTCTCAAGTCTAATGTCAAAAATTTCGACTTTGTTTATTTTTTCATAATGGAAGTCAATTCACAATCATGCATTTTGACAGCAAACTTGAGAGGTATCGATAATCAGCTGGTCTCCTTGGTGACCTTATTTATAGGCCATGGTAAAAAGGAATTTTCAAAGACTCAAGGACATCTTTCAAAGACGTGTTAAAGGGAGTCTTTATAAACGAGCTGAAGGGAGTCTTTATAAGAGAGCTCAGGGATATCTTTCATAGACGAGTTTATAGCAGTATTTATGAACGAAGAGCGGCGTTCATAGACAAGTTGAATGAAGTCTTTAGTATTTCATAGACGGTTAAAGGGAGTTTTTCATAGACGATCCTTATTTTTCATAAATGGGCTAATCCCCTACTCAATTTATGAATGTAATACGGCGTTTACATTAGAACTTTTTACCGGGCTAACCTACACTATGAAGATTCACTGGGTTAACAAAATCCGGTAAAATGTAAACGCCGTATAAAATCTTTAGCAATTCCGCAGGTTTTTCGTTTTGCTTAATTACTTTGTACAAATTATTACAAATGGTCTGTTCCCGTACTGCAAGAGTCTACTACCTTTTACTACAATAACGAATTTTCCTTTGTTATATCGAAGAAAATAGTGAAATCGAGTAGATTCTTGTAGATTTGACTAGTGTGTTACTGAGCATTTGCAAATTCTCACAAGGAAAATTTACTTAGTAAGAATTTTCTTGTATCATCAGCTGATATTTAATCAGCTTATTCTCAATTTTGCTGTCTCTTATTGTAAATTATTTTGGACATGGTTTTACCAGTCTTTAAGTAGTGGAACAAACCATAATGAGTTTTTTATTTGGTACTTACCCGCTGAGAATGCCTAACCAAAGGCACACAAAAACAGCTGTTTTCCGTCAAAGTCCGATTTCCATTGCTACCTTGGTGACCTTATTAATAGATCTTGGTCCAACCCTTTTACTCGATTGCATCGCAGTTATCGGTATTGATCTTAAAATTGTATGTGTTGCCTCCCCACTTAATATTTTCGATAAATAAATATTCTTTTCATAAATCCAATTGCCGCACTTGGCCAATAATTCTTCTATCTACAGCAAGCAAAGATAGAGGTAACGAATAAACCGAAAAAAGAATGGAATATATAGTCCATACAAATAATATTCATATATAAAAAAATAAAAATATAAAAAAATCAGACTATATTCTGCTTTCGTATATGTATTGTATTATTATTAATCGCTACGTGGTTTTTTTCTTTATTTTTTACAGCGGCCGAAGAAAGCAAAATTTAATAGAACAAATTGGTAACCTTTTAATTTATAAAGGATCGAAAACAATTTCAAATACTAATAAAATATTCTTGCAGGTATTGGAAGAAAAGTAATTTATTTTAATCGCCATTAATTTAGGAGCGTTGTCTTCTTGGTGCCCACCTAGTCCCGGTTTCATCTTTGGTAACTTATTGTCATTTGGCAAATTATGGCACACTCCTCTTGACATATTTCGGAAAAACTCTAGTTTAGTAAAAACGACCCGATTTTTTTGAAATTTTTTCCAGAGGTATGTATTTTGACCCTAATTATGGGAATGTTTTTTTTCTTGGGGGACGTACCCGAATACCCGGTTATTTGACCCGACAGTTCGGGTCCGGGTACCCGGTTCTACGGATCCGATTAATACAAAATGGGTATCATTTTAAAGGTTAAACATTACCTTTCCAATGAGTGGTGATATGATGGTTATCTCAAACCGTTTTGGAGTCACAGCCAAAAAACTGGATTTTGGGCCCCTATTTTTATGAAAAACTCCCTAAAAGTCGAACTTGGGTCCATTATGGTCCCTCTCGACTCCTTACTTAAATGATAGACTACAATTTGCTCTTTCCAAAATGGTACGGCATGTGGCTGTATCTATTGTGGATCAAAAGATATGGGCCTTAGAACCCTGCAAATGCAAAGATATGAGATATGACAGGTACCAACACCGGCTACGCGACAGAATCTCCTTTTATATAGAATAGTTTTTTGGGTAGCCGGCCTTCGGCCGGGGATTTAAAACTTTCTCCTATGGACAGATACCAACACCGGCTACGCGACAGAATCTCCTTTTATATAGAATAGTTTTTGGGTAGCCGGCCTTCGACCGGGGATTTAAGACTTTTTCCTGTAGACAGGTACCAACACCGGCTACGCGACAGAATCTCCTTTTATATAGAATAGTTTTCTGGGTAGCCGGCCTTCGGCCGGGGATTTCAGACTTTCTCCTATGGACAGACACCAACACCGGCTACGCGACAGAATCTCCTTTTATATAGAATAGTTTTTGGGGTAGCCGGCCTTCGGCCGGGGATTTAACTCTTTCTCCTATGGACAGGTACCAACACCGGCTACGCGACAGAATCTCCTTTTATATAGAATAGTTTTATGGGTAGCCGGCCTTCGGCCGGAGATTTAAGACTTTCTCCTATGGACAGGTACCAACACCGGCTACGCGACAGATTCTTTTTATATAGAATAGTTTTCTGGGTAGCCGGCCTTCGGCCGGGGATTTAAGACTTTCTCCTATGGACAGATACCAACACCGGCTACGCGACAGAATTTTCTTGTTTTTGTAGGGTTCTAAGGCCCATATCTTTTGATCCACAGTGGACCCAAGTTCGACTTTTAGGGAGTTTTTCAAAAAAATAGGGGTCCAACATTTTTTGGCTGTGTCTCCAAAACGGTTTGAGATAACCCCATCATATTGGAAAGGTATTTTGGAAAGGTATTTTTATAACCTTTAAAATGATACCCATTTTTTATTGATCGGATCCGTAGAACCGGGTACCCGGACCCGAACTTTCGGGTCAAATAACCGGGTACTTCCCCCAAGAAAAAAATATATCCCCATAATTAGGGTAAAAATACCTACATCTGGTTCAGAAAAATCTGATCGTTTTTACTAAACTAGAGTTAAGCCCATATTTCTTTTAAAAACTATTTTTATTTTCTAGCAGAAAAAAATATGGAATCTGAAACGAGAGCCGCCCTCGTATCACGTCGTGATCTGCTAAAAGGTTCTCTCAATCGAATAGCAGAATTTGCTAAACAACCTCCCAGTAGTGCGCAAACGGAACAATTTGAAACCCGCCTACACCGCTTGGAAGAGATATGGCTTGAGTTTTCCAAAATAACTGAAAATCTATATAAATTTCAAAATGATGAAAACTATGTTGATCCTCGTGCAGAGTTTCATGATTGCGAAGATTTATATTTGGATACGAAGAGTATGCTAAAATCTGCAATGGCAACAAAACCACAAGAATCCAATAAGATTATCGATCAGCAGGCAGATCTCATAAAACAATTGGCAGATCGTTTAAATGCCCTCGAATGCGGTTCCACTGCATCGTCTTCTACTTCGAAAAAGATAATAAAAAAATCGGATGCTGATGATTTTCCAAAAACTGTTATTACACCATTTTCAGGAGAATATAAAGATTGGCCGCTGTTCGAAGAACTCTTTCAGAGTGCCCTGCAGACCAAGCCCAAATGGGCGAATAAAGATAAAATGAATTATCTCAAATCGTTGCTACGCGGTAATGCTGCTAACCTTATTCAACATATGCCATCGTCCAATGATAACTATGAAACCGCATGGAAACGTCTCAAAGAGGAATTTGATCGTCCCATCTATGTTGTGCATGGCTACATTGAGCAATTCATGAATATCGCCAATATGAAGAATTCCAGCGTAAGTGATTTGCGTAAAATAATAACAGATGCCAGTGACATAATAAATCGGCTTGATGCCCTGCATCAAAACGAACGTGATCCATGGCTGGTGTACATCTTAATGAGTAAATTGGATGCAGAAATATGTCACAAATGGTTGGGTCAACCCCAGCCAAAAGAAAAACCAACAATAAAATCATTCCTAGATTACTTGGATGAATGCTGTAATAATTTGACCGATATTCGGGATTATTATAAGCCAAGTGGTACTAACCCCTTGGCACGGATACATCCGATTAATTATGGTAAACCGCTGCCATGTACACAAGGCAGGAAAACAACTTCGCCAGCTGCAAGTATAGCTGCTCATAGCACACAAAGTGAATTTCAAACTAAAAGGAAATTTTATCGTCGCAACAATCGGCAAGGCGGAAACAACAATAATAGTAATAGAGGAGGACATAACAATGGGAATAGAGGAAACTATAATGGAAATAGAGGAAATCGCATTGACCACAATTCCACAAATGCCAATGCAACGGCAACGATCTCAAATGCCACTACAGATTTAAATACCAATACAAATGGGCGTAAAGACCAATCGCAAATGAATCAAAGTGGTGGTGGTGGTGCAGGAACTCATTACAATCCATTTAGAATGAATCAGCCAAATATGGGTCAAACTAATCAAACGAATATGTATACAAATCCTCCAGCGACATTGCAAAATAACTATTCCAAGACGAGAGTTAATAATCCGGCAAGTGGTGGTGCTCTTGCCAAAACGCAGAGTGTAGTTACCAACAATCAAGGAGTTACTACTCCGGCATGTGGAGGTGATCTCTCCAAATCTCAGAGTGTGGTAACCAACTATCAACTTGCAAAGTTATCAACACAGGCCAAAAAGAACACGGGAGCCATTCCAAAACAAACAACCACCAACAATCAAAATCACTCTCAACCCAAAACATCAGTTGTTGCTACAACAGCTGCTTCTGATCCAGACACCATAAATCAAATAAAACCAAACACCGATGCAGAACATAAAATCCCAACAACATCTAAGCAAACGTCTTCTTCTTCTCCTCCCCAGCAATCCAATAATATTTCAAATTCTATTACCACTAAAGCAGAAGATACACCATCAAACGAAACTGAAGAAAATCCGGACACAGCAAAGTCTTTAACTGAATTTAAACTTGTACAACCACTTCCTCCTCCCCCTCCGGCATTGGATTCGAAATTACAAGAAATATTAAAAGGTATCGATGCCAAAAAGGGTATAGAAGAAATTGTTACGGGTATAGCTTCAGAGCCGAATAATCGTGATCAAGCGATAGAGGCATTACATAAATTACTACGTGAAATTGAAGATTTGAAAAAGTCATCGTCATCCACGTCCAATGACTACAGTGTCCAGGCTATTTAAATTAGCTGGTAATATATATATATATATATAGCAACATTTTAAAATTTGTTATACTACATGAATATTATAATCCTCACTTTATTCCCGATTGATTTCTTGATAAGTTACTGCATGTGCAAATCATGTTACCCATATATGAGTACATTATGATATTCAATTCAATACCAGATTCATTTCCAATTATGTTATATTCAATAAAGTTAATAAAACATAAATAACAAATATAATGCCTTAAAATATTCTTTAAAAAATCCAAACCTTGTAAGGGTCCCTTAAAAATATTCTTTAAATATTCAATCCTTGTAATTAATGGTCCTCAAAAAAATCCAAATATCCAAATCCATATTCTATAAAATCGACATTTTATTAAGACTTAAAAAAAATAAACAGAAAGGACGAACATATTTATATAGACATAAATTATTTTACATTTTCTTCAATTCTCCCCAAATAGACGATAGTTTTTTTAGCTTCATATTTTCAATTTCAAGTTCGCTATTCCGGGTAATTTCATTTTCCAGTTCTTTTGTGACGTGCTGCAATTGTTCTTCCAAGTCTTTGATTTTGTCATTGGTCAAATTGATATGAATCATTGGCCGTTCATCATTAGTCGTCGTCGATTTCTCATTTTGTTTAGACAATTCCACTGCCAGTTCGGTAGAATAGTTTTCCAATGTATCCTTTAGCGTGTCAACTTCCTTTCTTAGCTCCGCTATTCTATTCTCTGATTCCGTTTCTATGGAACATATCTCCTCCGTTAGGGCACATATTTTTTGGCGATTCTTTTTCCCGGCAGCCTCAAGGCACACAATGTCATGTCGTAATTTACTGACAAGTGTTTTAAATTCATGAACTTCGTTTTGAATCGCTGCTTGCATTTTAGCCCACACCAAACTCTTTTCTTTGTGGAGTTTTTTTAAGTTCTCCAATTCATCCGATGTCTGTTGATGGATTTCCTGCAATTGTTTGGCATCGCCAATTGTTTCGTCGAAATTTAAATACACGACATGACTAAATGGTTTGTACGCTTCACATTGTGGACATTTAGGGGTTCTATAACATAGAAAATCGACAATTAAAGTATCGTGCAGATAATTCTTTACAAATTAGCATAGAACTTACTGCAGTTGCCAATTCTGTAGGCAATTATCATGAAAGATGTGACCACAATTGGTAGTCGCAATAACCCCCGTATTGTTGAACGGTTCCATACAAACGGTACACTTTGAATCCAAAACCGACATTTTCACAAAATACTTTCAGCAACACTACAAAGGGAGGAATGAAGTTATTGTGTTCGCGTAATTATCTGCTGGAATTAAATTTCAAGATAACGAAGGGGATTTCCCCTTGTAAACAAAGAAGTTATTTTTACAATTTATCGATAATCGAAATAACATCGATGTAAACCGATGCAACCAGGCCACCGGTCAAATCTATTTATCGATTTCTGACACTTCAACAACCATAAATTCAAGATCACGTCAAATAAATAACGTCACCCATCCAACGAAAGTCAGCTGTTTTTTCTCAAGTCTTATGCAAAAATTTGGACATTGTATACGTTTCCAAAATGGAAGTCAATTGACAATAATGCATTTTAACAGCAAACTTGAGTGGCGCAGACATCCAGCTGGTCTCCCTGGGTGACCTTATTTATAGGCCACAAGGGCAAGGTCCATGATCTATCAAAAAGGTCACTCAGGTAGCAATCGAAATCGGAAAACAGCTGTTTTTTCTCAAGTCCAATGTCAATTTCGGACTTTGTTTACGTTTTCATAATGGAAGTCAATTCTCAATAATGGATATTGATAGCTGATATCCAGCAGGTCTTCTGGATGTCCTTAGTAATAGGCCTTGGCCAAGGCCGTAAAAAATGGTACCTCGAACTCGTGAACCAAGTGTCATGTTGAAAATAGCATAAATCTTTTAGCTCGACTAAAAAAGCTTTATTCGACTCGTAGTCTTTATTTTCCGCTTCTATTTTCCGCTTCTATTTTTTGATATTTTCGGTTCCACATAAATATATTGGGTGTTTGGATAGATTTTCCACCCAAATAGCCGATAACATATTTTGGATTTAAATTTTGTAGTAAAACTCCTTACCATCATGACAAGCTTTTCATTGGCATAGAGAAGATCAACACCCAGCTGAACGGAAGCTCCCTCTGAACACAATGGCCGATGGATAACTCTTCACACCTGTCAGAAAACCAAAACCGGAAGTTGAAGACATGCGAATTGACATATAGTTTCGGCAAGGTGGAGTGATTGGTAATCAAATATGTGGAATTCAAGTTGTTGGACCCATAGATTGATACCCAGTATATGCCCTTGGCCCACACACGACACGTTTCACCAATTCAATTGCCTAACTTAGCCATTCTCACCTTTTAGATAGACTAATTTGGCTATGAAGCTGGGCAAAGGTTATAGTCTGTAGGTGACCAGAGTCGCCATCAAGTCTGGCAGTAGGTGATGAACTTTCGAGGAGCATCTTGCTGGAATTGCGGATAGAGTTTCGGCTTGGTGTGAAGTTACTTTACAACCGACTTTGCTTTTCATACCAGGAGGTGATCGCGGCAAATACGTGTGATCGATTGGTACCTACTCTTTGGTGTGGTGGTTTTGGTTTGACGATTTGTATTAACAGGGGTTTACAGCACTGTAGGGTAAGGTGCCTACGCACTCTAAGAATACTTCTGGTATTCGAGTTTATATAACAACCTGAAGTTCGTATACGAACGACTCCATGCTGCTAGTCTATGAAAAACTCATTTTCCAGCTCGTCTGCGAAAGGCTTGATTCAGCTCCTCTATCATAGACGCCCTTCCAGCTGGTCTATGAAAAACATTTCGAATAGGTTTCTCTATTATCAACTTTTATTTAAAATATTTCGAATTTATTCTTTTATTTCTCCTCCCAACATTTTTATTCAGAAATTGAACAAAATTTGAAAAAAGAAAATATTTTCTTTATTTGTTTTTTTATTAAAACTATAATTAAATATGCACAAATATATATATATATTTTATTATTACATACATATAAACTATGTACGTTGAATAGTTTTGTTTTATTTTTTTTGTCATTTTTTTTTTGTTTTGGTTTTTATATAAGAATATATTATTATAAATGTATGTATATAAATTGTAGAGGCTCACAGAAAAAAGTAAAATAAAATAATATTTAATGAGATTATAAATAAATTATATTAAAAAATTGCAACAAAATATACAACTTTATATATGTAACTACTGGCTACCATGGAAAAATTGTAATAAAAACTAAAAACATAACAGAAAAAATATACAAAAATAAAGTCATATAGAAGGAAAATATTAAAAAATGGGTGTGAGTAGTAAAAATATTTGAATTAAGGTGTTATAAAAAAACATTTACTTTTGTCAATTTAATTAATTTTTTTTTGCGATTTTGTTTTATAAATACATATTTTTATTTATTTCTTTTTCATTACAAATATTTGGTTTCCTTTTTTGTATATGTATATTAATTTTTTGTTTAATGTAATAATTGTGGTTTGGTTTTCGGTTCTTAATGGTAAATATTATTTTTATATTTTATTATTTTTTTTTTGTTAAGCAATAAATTTTTGTGAATTAACTTGAATTATTTTTTTTTGTCTTTCGCATTCATGTTTTTTTAAAGTTTAGATGAAAAGGAAGTTATCGCATTTTATTTAATTTATCGGTTGTTGTGTTTTTTTTTTTTTAATTTAATTCAATTCATGCTGTTTTCTGCTAAAGTTCTTTTTTTGAAAAATAAATGAAAAAATAGTTAAAGTAATTTTATATTTCTTTCATTAGCTTTTTTATTTTATGGTTTCTTTTGTTTATATTTATCTTGTTGTTATGTAAAAAATAATTACGAGTGTTTTTATATTTAGTGTTAGTTATTTTTACGTCTGTCTTGTTAAAAAGTTTATACGGTTATACGGGAGGATAGGAAGGGGGACAATTAAGAAACTTTTAACAACATCCGCTACTAGCTGACCCGGCTTGATTGCCTGAACCAGGCAGTGATGGATTTGTGGGGGAATGTTGTTGACCGATTTTAATACCATTGGCCTGAAATAGAAAAAAATAATAAAAAATAATAAATTAATATAAAAGACAATAAAATCTTCTCATAAAAGATGAGAACTTCTACTTTTTTTATAGAAGACAAGATGGTCTACTTATAGAAGACGATTTTTCTCTTCTCATAGAATATCAAATTTTTTTTATAATAGAAAACCCGAAGAAGCCTTATCATAGAATATCAGAAGAAGGTTTTCTCACAAAAGAACAGAAGGTTTTCTCATAGAAGAGCTCAAGATCTGCTCATAGAATAGCAAAAGGTCTTCACATAGAAAAGCATATGGACTTTTCATAGAATAGCAGAAGATTTTCCCATAGAATAGCAGAAGGTCTACTCATAGAACATCAAAAGAAAGACCTCATATCATAGAAGGGTCTTCACAGTGAAGGTGAGAAGAAGGCCCTCTCAAAGAACACGATATTGTATTCTCATAGAAGACCTTACTGTGGTCTTCTCGTCGAAGAAGAACATCGACAAAACTGCTTGAGAATGAAAATATCTTAAAGAAGTTTTGTGTATGGCAATCTATTTGTAGAGAACATCACTTTAAACCTAGAAGACCGGAAGAAGACCCTCTCAAACAACACAATAATGCATTCTCATAGAAAACCTTCCTGTGGTCTTCTCGTCAAGGAAGACTATCGACAAAACTTCTTGAGAACAAAAGATCTAAAAGAAGTTTTGTGTATGGCAATCTATTCGTAGAGAACATCACATAGTGTCTTCCGGCCTTAGTAAATCTATTATTGAAGACTTGCAACAGCTATAGCATATTTTCTTTTATCATAGTCTTGCAGAGCAAGAAATACATACCTCATTATTTATATCGAAAACACCCTCCTGGATTTTTTCATAAATTTCTTTGGCTGTATTGATGAAGGCTTCTTCAACATTTGCGGCTGTGCGTGCTGATGTTTCCATAAATACAAGACCATGTTCACGGGCAAATGCTTCACCTTCTTCCTTCTTTACCTCACGGCGTGATTCCAAATCACTAGAACCAAACAATCAGACAATTATTATAAATCTCATAGGTCTAATTTTATTCTCCACTTACCTCTTATTGCCTATCAACATAATAACCATATTGGAATTTGAATGCTGACGAGCATCTTCCAGCCATGTGGTCAAATGATTAAATGTTTCCCGACGTGTTATATCGTAAACGAGCAGGGCACCGGCAGCACCACGATAATATGAACGTGTTATTGATCGGAATGCTTCCTGACCGGCTGTATCCCAAATTTGTAATTTAATTTGTTTGCCATCGATGGTGATCATGCGGGCACCAAACTCAACGCCAATTGTTAGATCATGAACGGGCTGGAAACGTTTATCGGTGAATTGCAACAGGAGACATGATTTGCCAACTCCTGGGAAATAAAGAAAAAAACTGAGATTTTAATATTCTAAAAAACGCTGAATGCTATCAAAATATCATAGATGATAGGTTGAAAACCCAGGTCATTATACACCTTGATAATATAGAACATCTCTTTAAGAAAAAAATATCTTATCAATTGCAACGAATGGTGTGAATCATAGGTCAATGAAATTTTTATTCATGATAATGGTAATTTATATGGGGGAGGGCCTTATTACGGGATATAAGAGAACAATCTCAATAGTTTATTTTTTCAACTGGAATACATGAAATGACCAGTATGGTCTGCATCCATAGAAAATTCTGAGAGACAGGTGAGATAGGCTGGGATCTTGTAATTCTAGTCCAAATGCTGGCCCCCTCTCAGGTATCGTGCCATCAATTCGTGCCCAGTAGACCTTATTAATAGGCCATACTTATAGATCATATTCCAAAATTTGGTTTAAAGGCATAAAATTATCTTTAAAAAACCCAAACCATCATCACCCCTTCTATTTGTATCTATTTGTTTCCATTACAATGACTCAAATCAAAAAAATGTAATTTTTTTCTTGGGGATGAACTTGGAACTCTGTGAAAATTTAAGGGAAAAACAGCTGTTGGGGATATCAGGTTATAATGATGAGAATACGAAAACAAAACATTGACTGACAACACCCACAAATAGTAAAGTAAAACAGCTATTGGGGCTATGTTGTTAAGGGCAAGTTTGCATGATAAAGTACACAATAACAAGGGTGGTTAGGGGTTAGTTGTTGGGAAATTAACTACCCATAGTGGATCCAGTGTCTGGAATAATAATTACAATAAACTTTGCAAGTAATATTATGTGTATGCAGTTCGAAACAGCAACAACAACAACTCAGTAACATGCAATGCTAGACTTCCTTCTATATGGATACAAAGACAGCAACAACAACAACAGCACATTGCTGATATTATGGATCAACCACCCCTCTGCTGTCTGTATACACCACAATAATAAACTTCGTCATCACCCATCATCTGATACAACAACAACAAAAGCAACAATAATGGGGATAAACGGGGGCGCATTTCCCACAATACACAAAGAGAGTTGGCGCGAGCGAGAGAGAGGCAGTGAGAACGAGCAGGTTTGCAAACAGAGAACCCTAACATGACCAACAATGAAAAATTATTGATTTTTCAATAGAATGACAGAAAATTTGTGAACTGAAAAACAAAGGAAAATAAATTCAATTTTCAAAACGTTATGAAGACTAGTTCGAATAAAATTAAATACCCAAATTTCAAAATTTGCATTTTTTTGTTTTAACAAAATCAGTCCTTGAAACTTTCGCTAACATATGTTTCCAACCAACACAGATTTCATAATTCTGCCGAAGTTAGTCAGCCAGCCAGCCAGCCAAACACCATCAACAAAATTCATTTTTTTCGCCAACAGAAAACCCCAAATTTTCCAAAGTTTTTCTTTCACTTTTTTTCAACTTACCAGTATCACCAATAATAATGTATTTGAATAAATATGCGTAGGACATTGTCGTTCTTTTGTTCTTGGTATCTGTAGTTGTGAATCAAACTTTTTGATTTTCTAATAAACTATTAAATATTTTTTTCTTACAACAATATTCGCGATTTCTCGAAGAATTATTATACCACTACTACGCAATTCTCTCTATCAGTCAGTGAAGTCAGGGATCTATAAGTCGACTTTTGTACAATCGATAATTGTTTTTGCTCCCCCTTTTTTGCATATCATTCCTTGTTCCGTTGTGATGTTGATTTTGGGTAGATAATCGGTTTTTTTATTTTTTTTTTCAATACGGTACAAATATATTTGAATTTTATTTATTGATTAATTTATTTAATGATTAAATTTATTTAATTTATTAAAAATTTATTTAATGCTTAAAAAAATTAAATAAATTTTCAATAAAATTACCCAAATTATTTTATTTGAAAAAAGTTTATAAAAATAATAAGAAATAAAAATATAATATAAAATTAACTATAATTAAGGTACGTTTAGATTTACGAAATAAACTCGATTTAAAATGTCAATTCCATTGCATATACGTCAAATATAGTCCATTCTAAATTGGAAATTGGCCTGGAAAATTCCAAATTGGCCTGGAAAATCTATTCTTTAAAAATCATTGCCTTATATAATTCACGCCTTATATCGATCAGCAATCATATATATTCTTTGAAGTCCCTGAAAAAAATATAATAATAAAAAATCCACACCTTTTGAAGTCCTTGAAAAAATATTCATTGAAAAATTCACACATTTATATAGACCAGCTTTTGAAGTCCCTGAAAAAATATAATAATAAAAAATCCACAACTTTCGAAATTCTTGAAAAAATACTCTTTAAAGAATCGACAACATTTGACGTCCTTGAAAAAATATTCTTTAAAAAAATCCACGCCTTTTAAAGTCCTTGAAAAAATATTCTTTAAAATATCCACGCCTCAGACATACCTTGAAACAATATTCTTTAAGAAATCCACACCTCAGACATGTCTGGAAAAAGTATTCTTCAAAAAGTCTACGCCTTTTGAAGTCCTAAAAAAATATTCTTTAAAAAATCCACGCTGTTTGAAGTCCTTGAAAAAATATTGTTTAAAAAATTCACTCCTCAGACATGCCTTGTCTGAGTTAGTCTTAGAAAAAATATTCCTTAAAAAATCCACGTCTCAGGGAGTCCTTGAAAAAGTTTTTCTTTAAAAACTCCGCCTCAAACGATGTAAACGCCGGTTGAGGCGTTTACTCTCTCTTCAAACATTTTAAAATAAGATTTTTTAATTCATTATGAAAGTGGAGTTTTAATCTATTTTTAAAATTAGTCCTGATTTATATTAGGCGAGTTTACTCGCGACAATTTTTATCGTTCTCTTTTGAACTTGCTCCATGCGTCTATACAAGGCAAATCGGTTTCCAAAATTTTTTTTATTTGTTGTTTTTTCTCTTTAAATATATATAAAATGTCAACAAATACGAAATACACAAAACAAATTGCCAGAAAATTGTCGGTACGAGCAATTTTTTTCATTTCTATACCCCTTGCCCCTCTCTCCTACAAACAAAGACTTGCCGCAAGTAAACTCGCCTAATCTAAATTGAGACTTACTAAATAGTGTTTTTTGTTTGTTTCAACTTTTCATACCAGTATTTATTAAAAAACTGTGAGACTTTTAAATATTTTTATTGCTAGCACGTTCAATTATTGTGCCTTTTATAAACATAGTGTCAGCTGCCAGCACAGCTGTCATCATGACTGGCAAAAGTCGACAAACCACAATATTTCGATTTCCTAGCGGCAATATCGATTAGTTGATTATCGAACTACATATCCCTAGTCAATCGAGAAAAAGAAGAAGGAAGAAGAAAGTAATAAAAGAAGAGAAAAATTTTTCATCGTTTGTACAAAAAAATCAGAATTTGGGGATTTTGATTTGTTAAAAAAAACCAACAACAACCCAATTAAAAATATTGTTTGGGTTCAGGCGACAGGAGTAACCAGTTGAAAAAAAACATGAAGATGGCTGATGGTGCGACAATTGTGCGTAGAAATAGACCTGGAACAAAGGCGAAGGTAAGCGATGAGAACAGAACGACAGACAGACAAACAAGAAATTGTGAAGAAGAGCCACAAATAAAAACTCGTACTCTCTTTTGCGGCAATGTTTTTTTTTTGGGTTTTGGTTTTAGGATTTCTGTCGGTGGCCAGATGAACCATTGGAGGAGATGGATAGCACTTTGGCTGTCCAACAGTATATACAACAGCTGATAAAACGTGATCCATCAAATGTAGAACTTATATTGACAATGCCCGAGGCCCAGGATGAGGGCGTTTGGAAATATGAACATTTAAGGTGAGGTCGAACGAACGATATGACGTGATTGATTTTCGATCACTGTGTTGTTGTCATCAACTATATTTATTATTTTGCTGTTGTTTTTGTTGTTTGTGCAGGCAATTTTGCATGGAGCTGAATGGGCTGGCGGTACGTTTGCAAAAACAATGCTCACCATCGACGTGCACACAGATGACAGCCACCGATCAATGGATATTTTTATGTGCTGCCCATAAAACACCAAAAGAATGTCCTGCCATTGATTACACACGTCATACGTTAGATGGCGCTGCATGTTTACTCAATAGTAATAAATATTTTCCAAGTCGGTAAGTTAATCAACAAAAGGAAAACTAATTGAAAATTATTTTCTTTTTATAATATAATCCTTTATGGGTTAGAAGCTACCTGAACTCATCTGTAAATGAGTAGATGACTTCTAAAGTCATAAATGACTTCTACTTTATAGAAAAGAAAAACTGGTGAAATAATATGTTATATAGTAGATAAGTTCTGATGTAATATATATAGGCGCAGAATAATTATTATTTTTAAACTCCAACAATTGAAATGGATTTTTTAAAAACAAGAATATTTCCTTGAAAAAATTTTCTTTAGTAAAATCAAAACGTTTAAAAAATCAGAGCCTTAAAAAATGTTTGTAAAAAAATCTTCGTCTTGAAAAAATATCTTTTTAAATAATTTAAGCCTTGAAAAAAGTATTCTTTCAAAAATCCGCGCCCTGAAAAAATAGTCTTCAATAAATCTACGGCTTGTGAAAATATTCTTAAAAAAATTCGCGAATTCAAAAAATATTCTTTAAAAGTTTCTGCCTTAAAAAAATATTTTTTAAAATATTTAACGCCTTTAAAAAATATTCTTTAAAAATCTGCGACTTGAAAAAAATATTTTAAAAAAATGTAATGCCTTCGAAAAATATTTTTTTTAATCCAAGCCTTAATTTTTCAAAAATTTAAAAAAATGTACCAAAATCGATATATTTCAAATTCAAAGTAATTAAAGATTATTTTCTAAAATCGTATACTTATTCAATTTATATACTAATTTCTTCTTCTTTATTCTTTCCAGAGTCTCAATCAAAGAGTCATCCGTTACTAAATTGGGTTCGGTTTGTCGTCGTGTTTATCGAATTTTTTCACATGCATATTTTCATCATCGTCGTATCTTCGATGAATTTGAGGCTGAGACATATCTCTGTCATCGGTTTACACATTTTGTAACAAAATACAATCTGATGTCGAAGGAGAATTTGATTGTACCCATCAATGAAGAAGAGAATGCTGCGCCAGGTGAAAGTGAAGCCTAAGCATCCTGGGTGTCAGGACGGCCAAAAACATAATCACATCAGCAACAACAACAAAGATAAAGATGATGGTGCAGGGGCGCCATGAATATGCAGAAAATGGAAAAAAAATGTTTAAGAGACAAACACACACACAACATCTACAAAATGCTGTAAAATCTAAGAGGATTAAAAGAATAATAATAATAATGAAAAAAGAAAACAATTCCCAACTTTAAAAGAAAAATATACAACAAAATAAATCTCTTTATTCAAATGAAATATTAAAAAAAAACAAAAGGGAATATTCTAAATCGCCGATATTTATTTGCAAACAAAGTATTTGGAACAAGAATTCTTTACCAAACTACAATAATATATTCCTTAACAAATTTCAAAACCAACTACAAATTTTGAAAAATAGTTTACCCACAAGAGAAATACATTTTGTTTTATATTTTCTTAATTTTTTATTTATTTAAAAATATATGTATTTAAATTTGATAATTTATTTTATTATTTTTTGCAATATTCAAAAAAAAAAATCTCATTTCATTGATACAATTTGCAAGCATTTGTTTCATATTTAATATTTATATATATATATACACCTTATTAAATAAATACAATATTAAGCGAGGAAGAACAACAACGTTACTCATGATTTGATAAAAAGGAACAAAACACAACAATTTCGAAACATATATAATAGAAGTGAAAGAATGAACATAAAATTAAAAACAAAGAGTATATATTGTAAAATCTCATAACCCCCCATTATAGTCAAACAAAACAGAAGAAAACTCCATAATAAAAATTCAAATAAAAAGTGAAAAATTGATGACATAGTATTTAAGCCTGTATGCAGAACAAAACAAAAATATAAAATATATTAAAAAACTCATTTATTTAAATAGTCTCACAACAAGAACATGAACAAGAACAAAAATTGTGCAAAAGATAACACAAGTAAAAGAGAAACAAATAAAACAAAAAAATGAAGATGAAAAATAAAAACTTCAAATAACATAAATGATGAGTTATTAATCACTCACTGCTATAATAAAAAACTTAGGAATGGAGGACTGTAGAATTCACAATAAAATTCAAATGTCCAAAGTCTCAAAAGTATTAAAATAGGCTTGATTGCTTTATATTTAGATTGAATATTCGCTACAAAATCTTCTTTAATAAATCCACGCCTCTGATAGTCCCTGAAAAAAATCTTCTTTAATAAATCCACGCCTCTGATAGTCCCTGAAAAAAATCTTCTTTAATAAATCCACGCCTCTGATAGTCCCTGAAAAAAATCTTCTTTAATAAATCCACGCCTCTGATAGTCCCTGAAAAAAATCTTCTTTAATAAATCCACGCCTCTGATAGTCCCTGAAAAAAATCTTCTTTAATAAATCCACGCCTCTGATAGTCCCTGAAAAAATCTTCTTTAATAAATCCACGCCTCTGATAGTCCCTGAAAAAAATCTTCTTTAATAAATCCACGCCTCTGATAGTCCCTGAAAAAATCTTCTTTAATAAATCCACGCCTCTGATAGTCCCTGAAAAAAATCTTCTTTAATAAATCCACGCCTCTGATAGTCCCTGAAAAAAATCTTCTTTAATAAATCCACGCCTCTGATAGTCCCTGTCCCTGTCACTAAAAAAAATCTTCTTTAATAAATCCACGCCTCTGATAGTCCCTGAAAAAATCTTCTTTAATAAATCCACGCCTCTGATAGTCCCTGAAAAAAATCTTCTTTAATAAATCCACGCCTCTGATAGTCCCTGAAAAAAAAACTTCTTTAATAAGCATCGAACAGTAAGTATATTTCGAAACATCATTAAATTGAAATGTAAATAACTCAGCAACTACTAAACCGATTTCTATAAAATTTGCATAAATGGTTAGAGGAAAATCTGAATTTTTATTATATATGGACAATACATTTTTAAACATGTGTTATATAGGAGAAAATTAGCATTATGTGAAAGTTCGAAGATATTTAAAATATCAACTACTTTTTTGTTAAATCTTATCAAAGCAGTCTGGTCAATTTGGACAGTTTGCGCTATACCCCATACAAATAGAATATATCACTTAAAAGAACATTTTGCAGGGATTATCAGACGCGTGGATTTTAGATATTTTAAGAATAATCTTAAGAGACCTTTACATATTTTAAAGAACATTTTTTTATGAACTATCAGAGGGGTGGATTTTTTAAAGAACATTTTTTCACGGACTATCATAGGCGTGGTTTTTTATGAAGAATATTTTTTGGTGCTTAAAAAAATTATTTCTGGTGCTTGAAAATACACTTTTTTGAAACATCCTAGCCAAGTTATAAAAAAACATTTTTAATAAATTTAGGGTATGTATTTGTTTAGGTGATATTTTATTACAAAATACTTTTATTTTATTATTTTTGTCTTAATGAAAAGAATACACATTAAACTTCAAGGACATTGTACAAATTTATCAAAAAATCTCTGTAAGATACAACATTTAGGACTCCATTGGTTGAACAGCAGCAGCAGAATTATTATTATTATTACTCTCATTATTATTTGAATTTTGTGATTTGGGTGGTCCACGATTTTGTTGTGGATATGGTCGTCTTCTTTTTTGTGAATTGGACGTATTCGATTTATTCTGTTGACCGCTGCTGGCGCTGCTAGCTGGCTCATCTGGCTTATTGGCCGCCCCTTCATTGTTATTATTATTGTTGTTGTTTTGCTGCCGTGGTTTCTGCGGCCTTCTTTGATTATCCTGATTACCTTTACGAGGCCTTTGATTACCACGACTATTATTGTTATGGGAATTACCAGCACCACCATTTGATTGCTGATTATGGGAATTTGCATCGTAGATCCAAAAATCTGTTTTACTATTGGGTTTTTGTAGCCTACAGAGAATTGAGGGAGGGAGGGAAGAATTAGAAATTATTATTGATTATTTTAATATGATATAAAAAATAAATCTCAACTTACCCGCTAACACTGCCATCGATTGGTTCCAGACTCATAAATATATGCAGTGAGGGTATTTGCCGGTGGGCCACAATTTCTTCCAGGCCCTCCATTTGGGGTTTCCAATGTTCTTCGACACTGAAATGGGAGCAAAGAGAGACCAAAATTAGATTAAAAAAAGAATAAAGAATGTTTTTCAGGACCATTAAAAGCGTGGACAAGGCGTAGATTTTTTAAAGAATATTTTTTGGGGGACCGTTACAAGGCGTGGATTTTTTTAAAGAAGATTTTTTAGGGACCATTACAAAGCGTGGACAAGGCTTGGATTTTTTAAAGAAGTTTTTTAAGGACCATTACAAAGCGTGGACAAGGCGAGAATTTTTTAAAGAATATTTTTTGGGGGACCGTTACAAGGCGTAGATTTTTTAAAGAAGATTCTTTAGGGACCATTACAAAGCGTGGACAAGGCTTGGATTTTCTAAAGAAGATTTTTTAGGGACCATTACAATGCGTGGATTTTTTAAGATGATTTTTTAGGGACCATTACAAAGGGTGGACAAGGCGTAGATTTTTTAAGAAGATTTTTTGGGGGACCGTTACAAGGCGTGAATTTTTTAAAGAATATTTTATGGGCCATTACAAGGCTTGGATTTTTTAAAGAATATTTTTAGGGGCCATTACAAGGCTTGGATACTTTTAGGGGCCATTACAAGGCGTGGTTTTCTTGAAGAAGGGTACCTTGTAATATCTTGGCGTGGTTTTATTGAAGAATATTTTTTAGGGGCCATTACAAGGCCCGTCATTTATTTAAGGAGTATTTTAGGGTCGTTTACTGATCGTGGATTTTTAAAGAATATTTTTAGGGACAATTACAAGGCGTGTTTTTTTAAAGAATATTTTTTTGGGCGTGTTTTTTAAAGAGTTTTGTTGAGGACCATTACAAGGCGTGGTTTTATTGAAGAATATTTTTTAAAGGCCATTACAAGGCGTGGTTTTATTGAAGAATATTTTTTAGGGGCCATTACAAGGCGTGGTTTTATTGAAGAATATTTTTAGGGGCCATTACAAAGCCCGTCGTTTATTTAAGGAGTATTTTAGGGTCGTTTACTGAGCGCCTTTACAATGCGTGGATTATTAGAGTCCTTTACAGGGTGTGGATTTTTTTAAGAATATTTTTTGGGTCTTGGATTTTTTAAAGAATATGTTTTTTCCCATCGAACTAAAATCTATGTCCTCCCCTTTCTCACCTTGTATAACACATCCGCGTAACTTGATACAATGGATATGAACGTTTAATAATTTCAGCACAGGATATAGTTTTCACCACCCCACCACCATGGCCACTCCATACAATATTCTTATGTTCTCCCTTGTCCAGGGCATTTTTGGCATAGTTCACCACATTGTTGACCTTGGTGCCACCGTTAACCTAAAACAAAAAAATATTATTTATTATGTTTCAAAAATATTGGATTTCAGACTTACATGCATCCACAGAAAATCCGTGCCTTTGGGTAAAAAATCCTCAAATGGTAGATCATCTTTGGTCAGAGGTTTTTCGATATTTTCACCTTTTCTATAGTGCATCATTGTGGCTTTAATCTGTAAATGGAGAAAGATGAGGCAGACAAATGAGGTTAGTGAGGGGAGGAATATAGTCAAAGGGTGTGAATACTTAAAGAAATTAAATTATTGAATTAATCTTCAGGACGACAAATACCAAAAATTCCAAGGATAAGCTAGTCCATTGGAAATTATTTTAAGGACTAAATTATATTTATCCATATGTAGGTAGGTATAATATATACTGGTTTCAAATCGTTTCTATTTGTTTCTTATTAAAAAGTCAATAAACTTTTATATTCTCTTTTTTTCGAATATATATATGTAGATAAATTCATTATTAATTACATTACAAATAAATAAATGCAGATAATAGCAAAAAGTAATATTTGAAAAAAAAAACTCGACAAAGATCATTATCATAAATTTAAAAACAAAAGATTGGTTATATTAAAAAAATATATTTTTTTCGCTACAAATATCTACGAGTGCTAAAAACCAGTTCGAATGGCGTTAAATATCTGAATGGAACAAAACTGTTTCTATGCGTTGACAGAATTATTTTCAAAGACACTTTCAGAGGCAGAAGAAGTTCGTAAGTAATGCAAAAATATTTTGTAATCAATTTTCAATTCAATTTTAAATTTAACAACCTCATATATGTATTTAAATATGTGCTAAAAAAACTAGTTTTGTTTAAAATTTCTGAAAAAAACCTATTTAAATACTCGATTGTGATAATCACTGCATAAAATATTTAAAACAAATATAAACCTTCGGAGTTTAAAAAAAAATAAATAAAAAAATATTTTTAAAAGGTGAAAAATAAAAAAAATATATTATTTAAAAAATATTAAATAAATAATTATATTATTTTAATAAAAGAAAAGAAAAAAAAAACAAAAATTAAAATGTTAAAAATATTTTTCGAGGACTAAAATAGACGCGGATTATTTAATCGTGGATTTGAAAAATATGTGAATAGTGGGGTTTTTAAAAGAAGCTTTGAAAATTAAAGACGTTAAACAATCCACAAATTAGATAGTCCTGGAAAAAAATCATTAACAATCCATGATATAGATAGTGCCTAAACATTTCCTTAAATTTTTGGATAAACCCCTTCCTTGGCAAAAAATCCACGCCTCAGATAGTCGTAGAAAAATATTCCCTTCCTTGGCAAAAATATTCTTTAAAAAATCCACGCCTCAGATAGTCGTAGAAAAATATTCCCTTCCTTGGCAAAATATTCTTTAAAAAATCCACGCCTCAGATCTTTAAAAATCCTTTAAAAAATCCTACCAAGCCTTCTTATATAGTCCTTGAAAAAATATTCTTTAAAAAATCCACGCCTTCTTATATAGTCCTTGAAAAAATATTCTTTAAAAAATCCACGCCTTCTTATATAGTCCTTGAAAAATATTCTTATATAGTCCTTGAAAAAATATTCTTTAAAAAATCCACGCCTTCTTATATAGTCCTTGAAAAAATATTCTTTAAAAAATCCACGCCTTCTTATATAGTCCTTGAAAAAATATTCTTTAAAAAATCCACGCCTTCTTATATAGTCCTTAAAAAAAAATATTCTTTAAAAAATCCACGCCTCTTATATAGTCCTTGAAAAAATATTCTTTAAAAAATCCACGCCTATATAGTCCTTGAAAAATATTCTTTAAAAAATCCACGCCTGATATAGTCCTTGAAAAATATTCTTTAAAAAATCCACGCCTGATATAGTCCTTGAAAAATATTCTTTAGAAAATCCACGCCTTATATAGTCCTTGAAAAAATACTCTTTAGAAAATCCACGCCATACATATAGTCCTTGAAAAATATTCTTTAAAAAATCCACGCCTGATATAGTCCTTGAAAAATATTCTTTAAAAAATCCACGCCTGATATAGTCCTTGAAAAATATTCTTTAAAAAATCCACGCCTGATATAGTCCTTGAAAAATATTCTTTAAAAAATCCACGCCTGATATAGTCCTTGAAAAAATATTCTTTAAAAAAATCTACGACTCTTTTGGTCCTTGAAAAAAGTATTCTTTAAAAAATCCACGCCTCTTTTTGTCCTTGAAAAATATTCTTTAAAAAATCCACGCTCAATATATATCACAACCTGCGATAAACCTTAAAAAATGTTCCTATTTCCAGATAGTCCTGGAAAAAATATACGCCTCAAATAGTCCTTAAAAATATTCTTCACCAAAAAAATATCTATCTATTGCTGACTATATAATCAGCATCCATATTTTTCTATTACTTCGTGTTTGCATTTCATTTCAAAAGTTCTCAATTTTTAATTATTATTAAATTCCATTATCTATTTGTTTTTTACAACACAACCCCCTGTCCTACCCTTCTCAGATTGTTGTATAATGTAAAAAAAATGGAAGGAAATATGCAAACACTTGTTGAATTCCCTTCCATTGCCACTTGAGATACATCACGATGCACCTATAAATGCATATCGCCGTCGTCGTTTACACTATTTGCGCCATCGGCAAATTTCCTTGACACTTGACACACGAACGAACATCGAAGTGGAATCACAATCAACCATGAATCAATAAATGGAATAGTAGAACAGAGTTTTAATTATTTTTCTCGAGAGAAAGAGAGAACAAAAAAAGGAACTTCGATTTCACACACACATACCCATACACTCATACACTTGCGGGCCAAGAATTCTATTTGTTGAATTTATGAAATAACAGCTGAATATTCAACCTCCCCACGTGTCAATAAGAGACAAGGACGTGTCAAAGCCATATCCCGGACAATTATCACCCTCTGCAATGAAGTGAAATAAATCATTGGCTGGATGAATGGATGTGTCGGAAGGAACAAAGGAGGTAAATGAAATGGAACCAAACACACAGTACAACCATCGCATCATCGCATAAATATCTTATTATCTAAATATCAAACGACAGTAGTTATGACTGATGGGGGACCTAGGGGTCTATTATTTTGGTAACAGATATTTAGATCCTTCAGATGTGATAGGCCAATTTTTTGATCTTCCAATTTCCCTCTGCCTCTCCTATCATATAATTTCTGAGTAAATACATATGTAAGAGCGTGTGTGAGTGTCAACAATTTCCTTGGGAAGGAGCTAACCCGACGACGTCATAACATCTACTAGCTGGCCATTATAAAAGCAAATGTTTACGACTTCCTTAAAAAGAATGTCGATGAGATTCCTTCGTTATTTTTATGAGGCTCTGAATGGCCTTTTGGATTTCCTATTTTTTCCACCACTTAACTTCTTGGTCGGTGACAGTGGCAGCGTTTGTCATCTTGTCACGGCTATCAGCCAACATTTAACTAACAGGCAATAATAATTCATTTTATGATAGAGAACTGATTGTGACATACATACAAATATACAAATCACACATACACAAGGATGTGTAAATGTCAAATGACATCACAAGGATTGGAAATTAATTGATTAATATTTTTCATTATTAAGGAATAACATTAACAATAACATTCATTATTAAAGACTATTTTTTCAAGGACCATTCACAGAGGCGTGGATTTTTTAAAGAATATTTTTTCAAGGACCAAAAAAGAGGCGTGGATTTTTTAAAGAATATTTTTCAAGGACCAAAAAAGAATCCTGGATTATTTTTAAGAATATTTTTTCAAGGACCAAAAAAGAGGCGTGGATTATTTTAAAGAATATTTTTTCAAGGACCAAAAAAGAGGCGTGGATTTTTTAAAGAATATTTTTTCAAGGACCATTCACAGAGGCGTGGATTTTTTAAAAGAAGATTTTTTCAAGGACCATTGGATTATTTTAAAGAATATTTTTTCAAGGACCAAAGAAGAGGCGTGGATTTTTTAAAGAATATTTTTTCAAGGACCAACAAACAGGCGTGGATTTGTTAAAGAATATTTTTTCAAGGACCAACAAAGGCGTGGATTTGTTAAAGAATGTTTTTTCAAGGACCAACAAACAGGCGTGGATTTGTTAAAGAATATTTTTTCAAGGACCAAAAAAAAGGCGTGGATTTTTTAAAGAATATTTTTTCAAGGACCAAAAAAGAGGCGTGGATTTTTTAAAGAATATTTTTCAAGGACCAAAAAAGAATCCTGGATTATTTTTAAGAATATTTTTTCAAGGACCAAAAAAGAGGCGTGGATTATTTTAAAGAATATTTTTTCAAGGACCAAAAAAGAGGCCTGGATTATTTTAAAGAATATTTTTTCAAGGACCAAAGAAGAGGCGTGGATTTTTTAAAGAATATTTTTTCAAGGACCAAAAAAGAATCCTGAATTATTTTTAAAGAATATTTTTTCAAGGACCAAAAAAGAGGCGTGGATTTTTTAAAGAATATTTTTTCAAGGACCAAAAAAGAGGCGTGGATTTGTTAAAGAATATTTTTTCAAGGACCAAAAAAGAGGCGTGGATTTGTTAAAGAATATTTTTTCAAGGACCAAAAAAGAGGCGTGGATTTGTTAAAGAATATTTTTTCAAGGACCAAAAAAGAGGCGTGGATTTGTTAAAGAATATTTTTTCAAGGACCAAAAAAGAGGCGTGGATTTGTTAAAGAATATTTTTTCAAGGACCAAAAAAGAGGCGTGGATTTGTTAAAGAATATTTTTTCAAGGACCAAAAAAGAGGCGTGGATTTGTTAAAGAATATTTTTTCAAGGACCAAAAAAGAGGCGTGGATTTGTTAAAGAATATTTTTTCAAGGACCAAAAAAGAGGCTGGATTTGTTAAAGAATATTTTTTCAAGGACCAAAAAAGAGGCGTGGATTTTTTAAAGAAAATGAAAGGACCAAAAAACTATTCGTCCTTGAAAAAATATTCTTTAAAATCCACGCCATAGATAGCCCTTGAAAAATCCTTCATAAAAATTATTTATTAAAACATTCACGTTCCAAAACCCTCATACCAGAAACGTTTAACAATTTGTACGAAACATTCAATTATCATATCGACAATTAAATAATTTCGTCTTATTTTAAATACATTTGGATTCCAAAAACAGACAGATTATGACATGCTCCC